GGTGTGTCTAAGACCCCGGAAGACTAGTTATGTTCGTGTTTGTTTGGTCGTTTGGTTGTGCACGCTGTCTATGTTGAGGGCTTTATTAATTTAAAGCCGGACGTTCCTGACGTCTATGTTCTAAAAAAAAATATGCAAGACCCAAATCACTGTGGCCTGGTCACTTTTCGACTTGTAAGAGAAATTGTGATGCATGCACTTTCATCCAGATTGTTTTTTGAACACATTTGATTCAACCCTTTGATCAATTTTAATTAAGGATACGACTATGGGGCTATGGGAGGGGCGCCGCGCCGCAACCAGCCATTATGCCCAATAGGCCAATACATATTTGGCGCCTCACGCACCGTTTTATGCTATTCCCGTAACTTGGCGCGCAGCCCCCTCTGTCTTGGGCACAACCCATTAAAAAAATAGAACCTTCAAAAAATATTTATGCGATGAGGGCTTCGAACTCCAACCTTTTGCTTTTCTTATTCCTTTTGTGTGTGCGTGTGATCTGGTTTCTTTTCTGTTCTTTTTCTATTTCTTTTCATTTTTTCTTTGTACTTTTTCTTATTTCTTGTTCTTTTTTTAAATATATGATTTTTTAATTTTTGATTCTTTTTGAAAATCCATGAAAATTTTCCTATTTAGAGATATTTTGTTTTCAAATTCTTAACCTTTATTTTGTCAAAACTGATAAATTTTTTCAAATTCATGAACTTTTCTCAAAATTCAACAAGCCTTTCTAAAATTCATGAACTTTTTTCAGATTTGAACTTTTTGAAATTCATGAACTTTATTTTCTTGAAATAGATGAACTTTTTTCCAATTCATGACTTTTGTCAAAATTTCATGCCCTTTTTTCAAATTTGTGCCTTTTTTTCAAAACCAATGCAATTTTTTCAAAAACGTGATTATTTATTTATTTGAAAATCGATGAAAATATATTTATCTCCTCTCTCCTAATAATCAGCGTGTCATCTAAGTATGAACAAATGACACGCTGCATGGCACACTGATTATTTATTTATTTACAAATGACACACTGATTATTTATTTATCTCCTCTCTCCTACTTAAAGAACGTAAGGTTTTGCCATGCAGCGTGTCATTTGTTCATACTTAGAGCATTTTCAACATATGATGTAAAAGTTGCTTATTATATATGATTTCAGTGTAGGAGAGAGAAGGTTTTCGGGCATCAGATTTTTTTTGCCATGACAGATGATGTAAAACCGGTGCCCTAAAAGTTTCAAACTTCAAACATGATCATTACATATTTCAAAGTTTCAAACTAAATATTCAATATTAAGCATTTAAACTGTCATAATCTATCACCCGATCGATAACCACTACTACTAAATAACACTACTCCAACATGGTTCATCACATATATAGTGGCAGCGTTTACATCACTTTTTTAAAGTATTCGTCGAAGTCGTCGTCCACGTCGATGTAGATCGCCCCTCCGCCAGAGGGGGTTGGCTAGTGGTCATTGCCGGTAGACGACTTCACCTCCTCCCCGTCGTCTTCTGAGTCCCCCCTACCGAGCTAGTCAAACAAATCATTGACCTCGGCCTTGATCCTGCGAGCATGCTTTTGATCCTCCTTTTTCCGGCGCTCCTTGCCCTTCTCGGCGTAGAATGCGAGCTCCGCCGCCACGAGGTTCGGATTGGCATCGGCAAACTTTTCCATGTACATCACATCCCTAACCTGGGTGGTGCGCCGAGCCTTGGCCATCTAGTTTGCCTTCTCCAAGCCGTGGGACACGGTCCACATGGAAGGGGCGCGGAACTCCACCTCCTTGATTTTCGCCTCAGGGAAGTTGAGCTTGAACTGGTTCCGTCCGTAGCGCTGAGCCACTGCGTCGTATGCATGCGCGTCAACCTCCAGAGTGTCTAGCCACTTCTGCTCACCCTTGCATGTGATATCGATCAAGTACACTGACGCCTGGCCTTGAATGCCATGGTATGGCGTGGCACACTCGGTAGGGCGTCGCGTCAACATCTCCCACATAGCAAAGCCTGCAGTCGCGGACTAACCGTGCAGACGACGAACAAATTGAGCAACGGCGGTGGACAAATTAGGCGGTGACGGACGAATCACACTCTCCCCCCGCAATTGTAATGGATCCAATGACGGGGGTGGCGGCTGTTATGGGTTGTGGCAGTGATGCAGTGTGTGGGAGTTGGATAGCGGGGCGGATAACGGTGGAAGAGATTCTGTCAGTGAGGTGAACATGACAATGTGGGACTACTGGATCCGACAACGGCTACAGGGAGGGAGACTTTCCCCGAGCGGTCAGGCGTTCGCGATGCTGCAAATATAAAACAGTAGGGGCCAAAATTTACACTTCCAAAAAATATCTGCATCACCAAATGCAGATACATCATCTGATGGTGTTGTTTTTTTGTTCCAAATGCTCTCAAGAACCCTTTTTTTGGCACAACAATATTTTTTTCATCATCTATTCAAGATGCTCTTACGATATGTTCCCTTTTCATCTCTCCGTTTTCATTTTTTTCCTTCTATCGTTGGTCCCTTTTCACCGATTTTACTTGAAAAGTGCAACTGCCTTGTCTTTTTTTGAGTTACCAAATGAAATTATGTTTTCTTTCGTAAGTCAATCAGTTCTACCCAATTAATAATAAAAATTTATTTACGTAGATAAATCACTGTTAGGATTTGGTAAACATTTGTGTACACAATCACACTAATATCTTTTTGAGGGGAGAATCACACTAATAATTTTTTAGGGTAACAGTCACACTAATATTAACATATAGATCACGGGCTAACATAATAGAATATTTATACTCAACTGCGACGCACATGCATTTTTTTTAGGATCTCACATGCAATAGCGAGTTACGTAGAATATTTATTACGGCCCCGTTTTTAAGGATCTCACACTAATTATTTAACATAATAGAAATATTTATACTCAATTACGTAACTCACCTGTTGCAGTTTGTTGAGTGCTTAACATTGGGCACTCGGCAAATAAGTATTTGCCTTGTTCCTCTTTTTGCACTTTTTTTGCCGAGTATCATTTTTTTGCACTCGGCAAATAATTGTTTGCCGAATACTTTTCCCCATTTGGCAAACAATGTTTTTTTTCCTTTTCCTTTCCTTCCTCTTATTCCTTTTCTTTTATACATTTTTTGTTTTATGCTATGTTCATTTTTGTTATTTGTTTTTATTTTATTTTATTTTCCCATCTTTATTTATTTTTAGGGCTAAGTATATTTTTCGTCCTCGAAATCTTCCAAGAGTTTAGAAATCGTCCCTCAACTCTAAACTGGAGAGTTTTCGTCCCTCAACTATCAAAACCGGATAGTTTTCGTCCCTCGTGCCGCTTCAGGTGATTTTAGTCCGGGATGAACGATAAATCGGTGAACAGTAAAATCGAAAAAAATAGCAACAAAAATCAAAAAAACCTGAAGTTTTACAGCAACGAAGATACTCTAGTGCGCAAGACCCGTGCAAAATTTCATGGTGTTTCGACATTCGAGCAGCTCATGGCAAACAAAAAACTGTAAATATGTACTTCGGTGAACAGTAAATTCAAAAAAATAGCAAAAAAAACTCAAAAACACATGAAACTTTTTGGCATCAAAGATGACCAGGTACGCAAGATGCATGCAAAAATTCGTGATCAAATGACATACGAGGAACTCTAGCCAAAAAAACAAAATAGCGCACTTTTTCAAAAAAGTAAATCTGAGCCCAATTTTGTTTTTTTGGTCACGAGTTCGTACAATGCCCAAACACCACGAAAATTTGCACGCACGTTGCGCACCCAAGCCTCTTTGATGCCAAAAAAATTCATACCGTTTTAATTTTTTTGCTATTTTTTGAATTTACTGTTCACAGACGTACATATTTATATTTTTTTGTTTGCCACGAGCTGCTCGAATGTCGAAACACCACAAAATTTGCACGTGTCTTGCGGACCAAAGTATCTTCGATGCTGTAAAATTTCAGATTTTTTTATTCTTTTGCTATTTTTTTTATTTTACTGTTCATCCCGGACTAAAACCGCCCGAAGCGGCACGAGGGACGAAAACTATCCGATTTTGATAGTTGGGGGACGAAAACTCTCCGGTTTAGAGTTGAGGGACAATTTCTAAACTCTCGGAATAGTTTGAGGACGAAAAATATACTTATCCCTTATTTTTATATGCAATTAGTGTATTTTCTAGACAATTAGTGAATATAATAAAATTTTGAACTGCAAGTGCATAAAATAGTTGAGAAAATTGGGTCACATTTTCTATTTATATTCTTGAATCTATGTGTAAGATTTATACAATAAAAAGAAATTAATTGCAAATGTGAGGGTGCCAAGGATCAACCGTGGCTATCACGTTGATGTACCTTGGACGCTCGCAAAATCATTAGTGCATGCAGCGCGCAGCAAGGGGTGTATTATCTGCGATAGTGGAATCGGACTCTAGCACTCTGGTGTAGGCTATTAATGGAGAAGAATATGACGGGTCTGTCAATGGCGCAATGATAAGAGAGACTGAAAAATAAATCTTTTGCTCGGTTAAATTTTGTCAATTCTAAAATTGCTCACTGCCCAGGGCATGTAGCAAAGTAGCAGACCGTCTAGCGGCAGATGGTGCACAACTAGGGCACCTGTGGCAGGAGTTTGTAAGTGTGGCAGTCACAGGTGATTTGGCCGGTTGTTTTGGTACCTGTGGCAGGAGTAGATGGTATTCCAACTCAAAAAAGGAAAACGAAGTACTACCAGCGACCCTAAAAAAACGATCAAAGTATCGCACGCAGGCGGCTGAACTCTGCCAATCCTGCCTTGTACGGTTTTTGTGGACCCTATACCTTGTACGTATTCGATTAGGACTCGTTAATGGGCTCCATTGATATATACTAGCCCTAAACCCAACCCAATATTACGTAGAGCAAGAGAGAGAGAGAATCAAACAATACGTCGACATAGATGCGAGTTGTGCGACAGCGAGGAAAGAGAAAGAAGAGAGGGAGTATATATCAATGCGCATGAGGAGATGGGCGAAGGAAAGTTGGAACCCTAACAAAGACAAAAAGGACGTCTACACCCACAGGACGTGGAAAACCGACGAGCTCAGTAAGTACCCTCCTGACTGCACTTTTTCCCTGCTGATCCACTCCCGCAACAGAGTATATAAGCAGCTAGTATTAACTGTACGTACACACGTCCTCAATTCAGCGTGCATCCCACCAATGTGTTACACCGACTCTGGTGGCGGCTGGTCTAGAGAAAACCTGCAGATATTTTCCATTAAGGTGGAATCGATAAGAGGAGGTTTACAGTGGCCGCTAGACGTGTTTGGCGTCGTCACCGCGCGCGATACTTTGGACATGGAACGCAAGCGTAACATTGTCTTCGCTCGTGGACATGGAACGCAAGCGTAACATTGTCTTCGCTCGTGTGAGGAGTAATTGCCAGACCATCACAGAGCAGGTAACAGATACTATGTTCCTAATTTATCAAATTTGATTCAATTTGTCCTTGACCCATGAAACGTCATTATATACTTACTAAATTATTTGTGTGTGCAGTGTCCGTATCTAGAACTCACAGGTCCTACTCGTGCTGTTGTGGCTGATTTCGACCCAGGGAGCTTTGAGGTTGTGCTCAAAGTTAAGGGCGCAACTGAATCTGCTGATAAAGGCCTAAGTTTTCTAGTTCTGCCGTTAGAAGAACGTTATCAATATTGTAGGTATTATACTAGTAGACATAGCACACTGGAGTTGACACTTCGCCACGTTGATCGTTCTGTGGAGGCGACAATCAGTCTGCGAATCGCTGCTGGTTCATCATGGCCACGCGGTATCGAGGGTGTATTTACCGCCAGTATTGCCAGTATAGATGATGCTGAAGTTTCCTTGCTTTCTTTTGAAGATGATAGATTGCCAGTTAATGCCGATGATGGCATCATCAAGCTGACACGACGCGTTGTCTCCGTTGAACGCGAGCATGGAGAGCTGAAAGTTTCTGCCACAACATGGTGTGCAAATGATGAGCAATATGCTATGACAAATGACATAGTTTTCACATCTAGGTTCGTGGGTAGAAGTTGTGGTGTGCTAAACATTGGCACATGTAAGATCCAAATCACTGTGGCCTGGTCCCTTTTTGACTCATAAGGAAAATTGTGATGCATACATTTTATTCAGATTGTTTTGTGAATACATTTGATTCAACCATTGACCTATTTAATTTAAGGACACGACTATGGGAGGGGCGTCGCACTGCTACCAGGCATTATGTGCACCCAGGCCATGAAAAAAGGCCTCCTTGCTGGGTCTGTTTCATGTGCTCGGGCTGATCGTAATGGTAGTATCATAGCTAGTATCATGCGAGAAATTGGATCTTTTGCCCCACTTTACTTCTCCATTCGATCATTTGCCCCCCTCCCCTGAGAGGCTACCAGGTGGGGCCCGGGGCCACTGTCATTGAAACAATCAAAGTGCAAATCATCCAACCCCTTGTAAAGTGGGGCAAATCATCCAATCCCCCAGTATCATGCATGCCAAGTAGACAATTTTGATGAGGTGTCTTAGCATTAAATGAAGAAAGAGAGGGTGTAGTATCATATCATGATACCGTATCATATTAAATGCTATGCTACTTTGTGTCATGCATGGCAATAAATAGAGTACTACATGATACTAATATATGATACTATGTATTAGGGAGGTAGTATCATACACTAGTATCATATGCATGATACTAGTGTATGATACTCTCCATTACAACCAGCCTCATGCAGTAGTCCTCGATGCTCAAAACCCGTCCAATTCCCAAGTCTTTCCCCCATGTCTGTTCACTCTCCTTCCTCGTTTGCAAAATACCACAACTCCATTATGCCTTCATTACTAGGAAAGCAATTGTTTGGACAAAACGGGAGGGAAAAAACGGAAAAACTGAAACTCTGCTCGATTGAACCATGATCTGATCATTCCAAGGCGAAGCAATATTATAAAAAGAAAGGGGAATAAAGCATATTATTGACAAACATTAGGCATGCCGTGCCATCTCCCTTGATTCCCACAACATCCAAATTCATGGTTATATTAATTGACAGCATACGTGAATGCAGTACTACCTCCGTCCGGATTTATTGGTCTCCATTGTATTTCGTGCCAAATTTTGATCGTAGTTAAACTAACAAAATGTTCACGCATGTCACCAAACATTATATTTTTGAAAACTATGTTCAAATACGAATCCAATGAGATAACTTTTCTTGACATGCATTAACATTTTGTTAGTTAAATCTTTAGTCAAAATTTGGCACAAACTACAAAGAGGACCTATAAACCAGGATGAGGTAGTAGTAAAAGGAAAACATTTTGCTGACTAAAACGTGCACACAAACCAACCAACTTAAACTGATTTGCTAGACCAATGCATTTTTTTCGAAAAGGAGGACTACCCCGGCATTTGCATCTGGATGGTGCACACAACCATATATATATTATTAAGGATGCAAAATTCAGCAGTCGAACAACATCAACCCGGAAAGACAATAACAAAAAGAAAACCCGAGGGTGCATGCCTCGCGACAGTAACTTGACCAGATAGCCATTAGCCCTATGATACAAAACAAAAATACACAACTCCTAGGCTACGCCTTCAGGAAGGAATCACCGCATGTGCGCCGACGATGATGAGACCAACACAAGTTTGAACTCCAGATTCTCATCCCCAAAGCGAAGCTTTGATCTACCACCTTCAGTAAGGACAAGACATGGGCACGCGTTGACATAGCATGATCCAAGATCTTGTTTAGTTGTCATTGAAGTTGTATGTACCATATCATCCATTATCCGGTTACTGACTCCTCGATAACCAGATACCTTTGGAGAAGACACCGAAAGAAAAAGACGTCTCATACCGCCTGCCTTCTGTTACCGTTGCATCACCTTCAATCCAGCAACAACAGGCTAAACATGGCACCTTAGCAAGAACCATAATGCAGCACCTGTTGGTAGCAGGCATGACTTTTTTCCACTCGTCAAACATTTTCCCTTTTCCCTTTTCCTTTTCCTTCCCCTTCCTCTTATTTCTTTTTTATACATTATTTTTAAACTTTACTTTTTATGCTATGTTACTTTCTATATATTACTTATTTTTTATTTTATTTTCCCCTCTTTATTTTTATATGCACTGAGTGCATTTTCTAGGCATTTAGTGAATATAATAAAATCTAAACTGCAAGTACATAAAATAGTTGACAAAATTGGGTGAAAATTTCTATTTTTGTTCTTGAATCTATATTTAGGCCCGATCCAATAAAATGAAATAAATTTCAAAGATGAGGATGCCAAGGGTCGGCCGTCCACGTGGTTATCATGTTGGCGCACGTTTGACGCTTGCAAAATCATTAGTGCATGCAGCGTAGCAATGGGGTGTGTCATCTGCGAGAGTGGAATCAGACTAACATTCTGGTGCAGGCTATCAACGGAGAAGAATATGACCGGTCTGTCAATGGCACAACAATAAGAGAGATAAAAAATCTTTGGTCAGTTAAATTTTGTGAATTCTAAAATTGCTCACTTCTCCAGGGCATGTAATAAAAATAGCAGACCGTCTAGTGGCACATGGTGCACAACTAGGGCACCTGTGTGCCACAGTGCCAGTTACCGGTGATTTGGCCGGTTGTTTTGATTAATAGAGTAGATGGTATTCCACTCAAAAAGGGAAAGCAAAATACCAACGATCAAAGTATACCAACTCTGCCGATCCCAACTTAAAAAAATAAAAATAAAAACCCTCTGCCGATCCTGCCTTTGTAGGTTTCTGTTTTTGTGTAGACCCTACCTTTGTAAGTATTCGATTAGGACTCTTATAATGGGCTCCTTGTTAGACAAGAGTCTCACCTCTTCTGTATGCTATACTAGCGGAATCAATCAATCGACCATGGACATGGATGCGAGTCGTGCGACGGCTTGGAAGGAGAAACAAGAGAGGAAGTACGCCATGCTCAGAAGGAGATATGCGGAAGAATTATGGGATCCTAACGAAGACAAAGAGGCCGCCTACAGATTTTGGACAACCGAGAAGCTCAGTAAGTACCCTCCTAACTGCACCTTTTCCCTGCTGATGATCCACTCCGGCAACAGAGTACATAACTAAGCAGTATTACTGTATGTACATACGATCATCGTCGATGCAGCGGCTGTCCCACCTATGTGCTTCACCGATAAGCGTGGTAGCACTAGTAGAAAAAGAGGCTTCCGTCCAGCCCCATTAGTCGCGAAACTGTAGGAACCGCGACTAATGAAGTCTTTAGTCGCGGTTCGGCAGACGAACCGCGACCAAAGGCCTGGGCCCAGGGCGCTCGGTGGCCAGCTGGTGCACGTGAGGGGCTTTAGTCGCGGTTGGCCAGGCCAACCGCGACTAAAGGTGCGCAAAGGCCTTTAGTCGCGGTTGGCCAGGCCAACCGCGACTAAAGCTCCTCCCCTATATATACCAGTTCAGCACGCTCACTTAGCCATTTGGTGCCACTTCTCTTCACAAGCTTCACAAGGGGGTGTAGGTTTGCTTTTGGTTCCTCTTATGCACACAAGGTGTTTGATGAAATGCCCTAAGAGGGTGAAACAAACATGATATGAAGTGTTGGAGCCACACTTGAGGTTCCTCATTTATTTTTTCCTCCTCGATCGCGGTTAGCAACTTGAACCTTTCATGCATGTGTGTCATTGATAAAATATGCATGTGTGCAGTTCATTGTTTAATTTATATTGTTTGTAGCTAGTTAGTTTAACAAATGCATGATGGTTAATTATATATTTTATAGTATAATAATGCAGATGAATCGGCAATGGATGTACGGTAACCGACTCTCCGGCGAGTTCACTACGGGTTTGAAAGATTTCCTCGTAGTGGCTAATGCGAACAAGCAGGGGGGTTTTGTTATCTGTCCATGTGTTATCTGTAAGAATCAGAAGGGTTACTCTTCCTCAAGAGATGTTCACATGCATCTGCTTCGGCACGGTTTCATGCCAAGCTATAATTGTTGGACCAAGCATGGAGAAAGAGGGGTTATAATGGAAGAAGATGAAGAAGGGGATGATTTCATCGATGAAAGCTATCTTGCTCATTTCGGTGATACTTTCATGGAGGATGCTGAAGGGGAAGGGGAAGGTGAAGAAGAGGCACGTGATGATCCCGTTGATGATCTTGGTCGGACCATTGCTGATGCACGGAGACGCTGCGAAACTGAAAAGGAGAGGGAGAATTTGGATCACATGTTAGAGGATCACAGAAAGGCGCTGTACCCCGGATGCGATGATGGTCTGAAAAAGCTGGGCTGCACACTGGATTTGCTGAAATGGAAGGCAGAGGCAGGTGTAGCTGACTCGGCATTTGAAAACTTGCTGAAAATGTTGAAGAATATGTTTCCAAAGGATAACGAGTTGCCCGCCAGTACGTACGAAGCAAAGAAGGTTGTCTGCCCTCTAGGTTTAGAGGTTCTGAAGATACATGCATGCATCAACGACTGCATCCTCTACCGCGGTGAATACGAGAATTTGAATGAATGCCCGGTATGCACTGCATTGCGTTATAAGATCAGAGGCGATGACCCTGGTGACGATGTTGAGGGCCAGAAACCCAGGAAGAGGGTTCCCGCCAAGGTGATGTGGTATGCTCCTATAATACCACGGTTGAAACGTCTGTTCAGGAACAAAGAGCATGCCAAGTTGTTGCGATGGTACAAAGAGGACCGTAAGTCGGACGGGGAGTTGAGACACACCGCAGATGGAACGCAATGGAGAAAAATCGACAGATGGTTCAAAGATTTTGCAGCTGACGCAAGGAACATAAGATTTGCTCTAAGTACGGATGGCATGAATCCTTTTGGCGAGCAGAGCTCCAGCCATAGCACCTGGCCCGTGACTCTATGCATCTACAACCTTCCTCCTTGGTTGTGCATGAAGCGGAAGTTCATTATGATGCCAGTGCTCATCGAAGGTCCGAAGCAACCCGGCAACGACATCGATGTGTACCTAAGGCCATTAGTTGATGAACTTTTACAGCTGTGGGGTGGTGTCCGTGTGTGGGATGAGCACAAACAAGAGGAATTTGACCTACGAGCGTTGCTTTTCGTAACCATCAACGATTGGCCTGCTCTTAGTAA